CCCCCCCCCCCCCCCCCCCCGGGCCTCACATGGCGGCGGCGGCGGCTGGCGGCGGCGGGCGCTCCTGCGGGCGGTGCTGCGGGGCGGCGGCGCTGCGGGCGCTCCTGCGGGCGGTGCCGGGGGTCGGCTCCGGGGTGCGGGGGGGGGGGGCTCCGGGGGCGGCTCCGGGGGCTCCGGGCGGGCTCGGGGCTCGGCGCGGCCTCGCTCCCACAATGCCCCGCGCGCGCTCGGCCCGTGGTGACGCAGCAAAATCCCCGCGCGCGCCGCCACCGCCTCCTCCCTCCCTCCCTCCTCGCGCCGCCGCGCCCGCGCCGCGCATGCGCCGGGAGGGCCCCCCCGCCCTTCCGCGCCTTCCAGCAGCTTCTGGGCGCGCGTGCGCGGTGCGGCCGCGGGGAGCGGAGGGAGGGGGGGGCCGGGACGGGACCCCCCCCAATATGGACGCGGCCCGGGCCTTGTTCAGAGCTCGGCACGTCCCCGCTCCAGCCGCCTCGCAGGGGCCCCTGAGCCTCCTCCTCTCCGGGCTGAGCCCCCCCGGCTCCCTCAGTTCTCCAGCCCCTTCCCCAGCTCCGTTCCCAGCTCTGGACACGCTCCAGCCCCTCAGTGTCTCTCTTGCCTTGAGTGCCCAGAACTGGGCACAGCCCTGGGGGGCCTCAGCCCTCACAGTGCCCACATCATGGCTGGCACAGCCCAGGGGCCATTGGCCTCCTTGGCCTCCTGGGCACACCTGGGCTCATGTGCGGCCGCTGTCACCGGCACCCCCAGGGCCTTTCCCACCTTTCCAGCCGCTTCCCCCAGGCTGAAGTGCTCCATGGGGATGGTGTGACCCAAGGGCAGCACTTGGCACTTGGCCTTGTTCACCCTTCCCCCCATTGGCCTCGGCCCTCGGATCCAGCCTGTCCCGATCCCTCTGCAGAGCCTTCCTGCCCTCCAGCACACCCACATCCCACCCAACCCACATCCCACCCAGCCCACATCCCACCCAGCCCACATCCCACCCAACTCGGTGTCATCCGTGAACTGACTGAGGTGCCACTGGATCCCCTTGTCGAGATCACGAGTGAAGGTGACCCTGACACGGCCCCATGGAATGTGTCCCCACCCCTTTCCGAGTGGGTTTTAACCCCAAGGAGTGTCCCAGCTTTTCCAGGAAGATGCTCTGGGAGACAGTATCAAAGGCTTTACTGGCGTCCAGGCAGACACATCCACAGCCTTTCCCTCTTCCACGACACGCCGCCGTCCCGGGCTCGTGTCCAGCCGTCCTTTGGGGCAGGAAGGAAATGAGGGAACGGGCAGGTGGTGTCAGGACGGGGTATCGGGGCCGGGATCTTCCCGGGAGGAAGCCTCCACCCTGGGGCCAGGGCTCCCAGGAAAAGGGAGGGCAGCAAACCACCACCACGGAGCAGCGAGTGTTTCACCAACAATAAGCCACAACTTTTATTAACCGATAGAAATAGTACAAATTTTAAATTTAGCTGTATTTTAGTCTTCTCTGAAACACCAAAAAAGGCTCCTCCCTCCGGCGGCTACATCGTCAGCTCCTGTGGGGAGAGGGGGGGTGGTCAGGAGCCAGCCAGGAGCCCCCCAGAGCCCCCAGGACACCCCAAACCACTCACCATTATCGCGTTTACGATGTCGTTGCTGTTGTTCTTGAGGGCTCGCACGGCCTTGGCCCGCGACACGTTTGCCTGTGACATCACCAGCTCGATGTCTTTCACCTCCACACCCGTCTCGTCAACCTGCAGGAGAGACTGAGATCGGTGCCAGCTCCGGGCCTGGCACAGCCCGAGACTGCCTGGATTGGGGAGGCTCCTGCTCCACCCACAGGGATGGGAGCTGGGAGGCCAGAGCTGCGCTGCACAGACCCCCCAGGGAAGGGCTCCACGCTCTCCCTTTGCCACCACGGATGAAGGAAAGGAATCCCTGGATTATCCCAAAGCAGAGCTGCCCGGCCCCGCAGACAGGCTGGGGAAGGCATTACCTCCTCTTCCTCGCTCTCCTCCTGCACGGTGGGGGTCTGTGTGTTTTCCTGGATGTTTGAAACAGGTTCTCCTTGCACTTTGAACTTTTCGGCAGCTGCCAGCTGGGCCTGCTGGGACAGGTCTTCGATCTGCAGGAGGGAAAGGAGCGGAGCTGAGGCTGGTCCTGGGTGGTGCCAGCACATCCCACGGCTCTGCCACGCGGCCCAGCCCTTGGCACGGTCCCCAGGGACTCGTGGTGGGAGCCACACGGTGCACAGGTGACAGCAAGGGACCTGCTGGCCCCCAGGTGCTGCCAGGGTGGGCTCACCTTGGCCTCCCCAAAGACAATGTAGGTGTCTGACGCCGGGCTCTTGTACACGTCTGGCTTTGTGATGACAAACAGGATGTTCTTGGATTTGCGGATGGTGACCCTGGTGACTCCCGTCACCTGGCGAAGGCCCAGTTTGGACATTGCCTGAAAAACACCAGGGGAAGGTCAGCGAGGGAAGGAAGAGCTCCAGATGCCCGGATGTGCCCACTTCTCTCTCCAGAGCCCGGGTCCAGTGGGATACACATGGAAACGTGCCTTTAGTGAGCAGCATTCCCGGGTGTCAGGCAGAGTGAACGCTCCAGTCCCGGGACTGGTGAGATGCCCAGCACCACCTCAAGCCCTGGGGCTGCCCAGCAGGGACAGGTGAGGCCCGACCCCCCCTCACCTTCCGAGCTTTCTTCTCGCTCCGGCTCTGTTTTGCTTTGCTGACGGGTTCTTCATCTATTTCGGCTGCTGCCGCGAGCTGTGGGGAGAGACAACAACAGGGAGCCGTGACCACCCCGAGGTGACACAGGAAAGCACCCACAGGGACCCTGATCCACCACGTGCCCCCTGCCCTACCTGTGCCTGCTGTGTCGTGGCCTGTGTGGAGTCTTGCTCTTCGAGCTCTGGTACAGATTCATCGCTGTCGGACTCTGTTCCAGACCCTGCAGGAACACACACACACCCCCCTCACTCTTCCCACCTCGGGCAGGTCCAGGGGATGCAGCTGCTTTGGTGCAGCCTTTGCTGCTGGTTTCCAGTGCAGTCACCAGTCAGCCCAGTTAAGTGGTGCGCCCCAAATGCCATCAGGAGCCGTCTCGGCACCCCAAACACCATCAGCAGGGTGGCACAGGAGCCTGTCCCCAGGCTCTCGCCATGGTAGGAGCCCCACGGATGCCCGGAGGGTCTGGAATGCCGAGCCCCCTGAGGAAGCTCCAGCCTGAGGCACCAGGAGGAGTGTGGGTGGCACTCCTGGGGTGGCAGCAGCCCAGTGTGACGGGCGCCCTTGACACACAGCCCCACTCACTGAGCCCTCGGGGCTGCTGCACGTCCATGGCTTCACCACAGGGATCATTTGGGATTACCCTGATGCCCACCATCTGCAGTGCCACCACCACCACTCGTGACCCCTGGCACAGCCGTGCCCAACCACGCGAGTGACCGAAGCAGAGCCGGGTGTCCCCGGCCTCGGGGGTGGCCGGGATGCTCCCATGCAGCCATTACCTGGATCCAGTCCTGTTTCCCGCTCTGGAAAAGGGCCTCCGTGCCCACGGCACACAGAAGCCCTGGCAGAGCCCTCTGCGGGTGCCGGGATGTGCCCGGGGTTCCCAACGCTTCAGGCAGAGCGCGGGGACGGCACCGGCGCTGCCGGACGGACACGGGGACACCACGAGGACACCACAGGCGGCCAGGACGGGCCCGGGGCAGCTCTGCCCGAGCCCCCGCGCGCAGCAGCCCCGCTCGCAGTGCCCATGCCACAAGCCACGCCGTGC